CACTGAATTTTAATGGCAGATGCTCTCCTTTTATGCGATGCTTCCCATGCAAGGAGACACCCACACAATTATTACAGTAACCAATAAAACACAAGGTACAACCCACAGATAAGCATTTAACATAATTAACAAGCATACATTTTTCCTTGAGTTTTGGATGTACCCCAAATATCTGGGGTACATTCATAAATCCGGTATCCCCTGATAGCCCTAATCTGGGGGACCGACATATTTAAAAATCACCCAGATCGAGTCAGGGGTTCGGGAGTTCTGGAACTTTAAAGTTCTGTTCGTGGATTAAAAGTCCCGAAATGCTTGCCATCCGTGAATATCCTGGTGTTCGTTAAAATCCCCATGTTTAACTTAGTCTGTCTACCGAACGGCGGGACGTTCGGTAGTTTCTGCACAAATTTATGGAAGTCTGGAGGTCTCAGCGGTGTTTGCCTAGTCGAGTGTCCGATTTTAGTCCCAGACACTCAACGGCAGAACACCGCTGTTCGGGAGTTTAAGATGGCCGCTGCCACGTGTAAAACTCCCGAAATGGTGGCCACCCAGGGACTTAAACAAAGCGTTTGTGGGTTTTCAATATGAATGTATTAGCCAAACAGGGAGGTAAATTGAAGCATAATTAGGTATCAGGGTGGTCCGGTGTTCGGTAGTTTTCATTCGTATGATGAATGCAAGGTCAATATAGTTTAGGTGAAAACAATTAAACGAATGCTTTAATCTACCCCAAGTCTTTAGAGAAAATCCACACGAAAGCCGGTAAAACATACAATTTTCAGACAGCTTGATGTCCTTTGCTGAATAAGAGGTGCGTGTGTGTGTGTGTATATATATATATATATATATATATATATATATATATATATATTCCGTGGTCTCTGTTACTTTATATGTCCCCGGCTAGTTCTTAAAGGGCCAGTAATGCCATATACAGTCTTTATATTTACGTGCAGGATAAAGTGAGGAAGGGCAAGAAAACGGTGGATGTTCCCAGGTACATTGTATGGATTTGTTACAATATGTATAGCTCAGGGGAGGGGAGAAGGGAGAGGGGGATATGGTAAAACAGACTGAAAGTCATTAATATGTATAGCCCGGAGGGGAGAAGGGAGAGGGGCATATGATAAAACATAGACTGAAAGCCATTAATATGTATAGCACGGGGGGAGAGGGGCATATGATAAAACAGACTGAAAACCTTAAAGATTAAATGGACCTGTAGCGGAATGAACCTTTGACTGTCACCCTTATTCCTGTAGCTTGTCCCCCCTGTTATTTCCTATGTTTTGTGCTCCTAGTCCCTGGATCATCTTGTTCTTTCCCCTGTTTGCCTGGCCGTTCGGTAGAAGCCACCTCGTCTATTAACAAGGTCTTGTTCGACAACCGAACAAATTATCAAACGGCCAGACTGTGACGAAGTGCCCTTTGCCACTTGTGCCCTTC